TAGTCTAACTAATCACAAATCGATACTCTGTAAAACCATTCTCATAATATCATCCCATCTTAGTTGGGCTTGGGCCCTAAAATCTGAGCACCATCAAGTTTAATCTTCAGGTTAAGCTCAATTATGGATCCCAACCGGAGTATTGGCCAAACTTTAAACAGTTTTGGATTTTTCTTAACCACGTATTAAATATTTTCAGATGAAATTTGGATTGACTTATCCAATTATATCCTTAATCCGACTTATTTAACTAACAAACACCAAATTCCCCGTCATGGGCCTCCACCTCCAACCCACTCCGCCAACGCCGACAGCCGCCCTGTGGGTTGGGTTATTGAACAGAAGAGTGATTGCAAAAGAACAAGAAGACAGTTCACCGTGTTGTCCTTGAGTTGTGCAACTTGGAGGTGGAGAAAAATCAAAGTCCACCACTGTCCACTATTTTAAGTTTGGAAAACAATGTGGGGCTGAACGAAACAACTTCATAACAAACCTGCCAAGTTGCTAAAAATTGTCGGAGTGGTAGATAATGGCATAATGCTGTGAATCTCAGGCATTCAAAGCTTAGTGATAAAAAATGGCCAGGCCTCGTGTCCTACGAAATTGGAGATCATGACCAACCAACATGCCGACGTCCAAGACCCATCTAATGCATTTTTTTTTGGTTAATTTTTTTCTCAGACGGATCATCACCTACTAATAAGTGAGTTGTCCACTTACAAATAAAAGATCGAATCTCGTTGACACCAAAAAGAATCATTAGAAATTAGCGTCTGATTTAGTGTCTTATTTTGGAACTTTCTGAATGAAAGGAAATCGACAGAAAGAATGAGTAAAACTAAATAACAATAATTATAATATGATGAAAGTATAGCTTACAGTGTACTGGAACAAAAGATTACTTAAAGAGCCTGCTTTGTATTTTTTTTGGGAGGGGTTTGACCTAAAGAATGAGATTCAACATTCAATGTTGTTCATACCTATGTTTGGTATGCTCAGGAATATATGATTATTATGATAATATATTTATATATAAATAACTATTTTGTTCCTTAATCAATTTGTATTTATGGGATATGTATGATATATGAGGGTATAAATATCATTTGAATATTAAACCTTTTAATCCACATATGAAATTCAAGTATGTGGATTTCATGACGGTAAAACGAGCCTAACTTGAACATTTTTTTAAGCCCGTTTATGTGTAAATAGTCAAACAAGTCAAGTTCGTTTATGTGTAAATAGTCAAACAAGTCAAGTTCGTTTATGTGTAAATAGTCAAAGGTTTATACTCGAATTCAGCTCGATTATCACCCCTACCCATAATCCAAACCCCTCCTAAACCCACATACCAAAGTGCCCCGAAGAGTGTTAGAGTTTCCACTAAACTAAAGACTAGCCCTAGATAATTCACAACTCCTATGAGTTTGCGTGCTTGATTGATGTTTCTATATTTCTTATTAATTTTTTAATAAATTAATTCACGTTATATTAAGGCTTTACTCAATAGTTGTAGTTTTATTACTGTAACTGTTACTTCAGCCCTTAGTTTAGTTTTCCCTGCATTTATTGAGTTCAACCAATTGTTAATCAAGTAGCAATACAGATATGTTTATACTATGACCTATTTTTCTGGATCAATGAATGCATAATCGACTATTAGATCTCATTCGATACAACTTAGCATTAGCATGGAGTCTCAATATTAGAAAGAATTTACTAATAAATTAATAGCAATATTAAATGTGATCAACAAATATAATAAATAAATTTAATCTAAATAATATTATTAATATTCAAAATGAAAACCATAATAATATGTATGTACATTCATCATCACCTTATCCACCTATCCATTTTTTTTTATATATTTTTTTGTGAATATAATTCAGATAGTTACATCACCACAGACTCTTTTTGGAGTCAGGTGCTTCTTAATTTAGTAAACTCCGTCAAAACCCAAAAACTTTCTCTTAAATAACCATAAGCGGAGAATAACCTAAACTTGCATAGGTTGATAACGGCGATAACGGAGGCACCTCAAAAATACCATTGACATCCCCAGAATCCCAAACTGTGGTCCAACTTGACGGCGTTAATGGACAAGCCGCCGTTGAAACAATTTCACTCTTGCCGTCACTGTTTTCCGTCATCTCCTCTGTCTTCACTTCCTTATGGCTCCCCTTCTCTTCCTTCTCCTCCTCTCTCGCTCTTTTCCGGCCACAGCTCGCCGGTGGGCGAGATTCCGTCAAGTTTTTCCCAATTTCAAGTGGGAAGTTCAGGATGGCTTTGCTTCCTCTTAGCTTGAACGCTGCTCTGTCATAGGCTTTTGCTGCTTCAATGGCGGTGTCGAATGTTCCGAGCCAAACTCGAGACCCTCTTCGATTTGGGTCTCGAATCTCAGCTGCGAACTTCCCCCATGGCCGTTGTCTGACTCCCCTGTAGTGCTTTTTCTCGCTGGAATCTGACACTTTCCTATCAGCCACCGGTACCTGCGGCTGAGGATTATTCAGCTCTGACTGCCACTCAAGATTCTTCGCTGCTGGTGGTATAGAGATATTCAATGATGGTTTGCGATCACTGAAACTCGATGTTTTTGGTGACTTCGAATCATTTTTCTGTGTCTTTGTTTCGAATTCGAAGTGTTCGTTTTGGTTTGAATTGAAACTGAATTGATGTGAGTGGTGTTCGTTTTGGTCAAGTTCGAGGTAGTTTGAGACTTCAAGCTCTGAGCTTGTAGTTTTGGAATCATAGTTTGATAGAGAAACAGAGTAAGCGAGAGTTGGACTGTTTCTCATCTCAGAATTGACAGACCCAGAACTTGAAGTTTGCGATAATGGATTATCTGATAAGTTTGAGAGACAGTAGTAGTCCACAAACGCAAAATCATCAAGAAGGTGTTGGCGAATGAGTTCAAGAGCTGAGATTTCTTCTGGTGAGGCTGCCATTGAAGTCACTGAGAAACAGTTTAAGAAAGAGCAAGTGTTAAACAAGGAGAGAGAGAGAGAGAGAGAGAGAGTTCCAAACGTGGGGTTAGAGTGGAAAGGAGGAAGTGAAGGTGGTGGTGGTTATAAAGGGGGAGAAATTATGGGGTTTTCACAAAGGAATGGGAGGTTTCGTAGGAGTGTTCCGGGATAGAGGTACGAACCATCCTGTGGTAGTATCTGTGTCCAATGAACCTGCTTGCTCTCTAAGTGATGATGTTTGATTTTTTCTCTTTTTCACCTTTAATCTCTTTCTCATACACCAAAGGACCAGTTTCGTGGGTACTTCCGTCCATAAAAAAATACAATATCACCAATCTTCTTTAATTTCTAGTGAATAAAATAAGACTGTTGGAATTTTAGTGAATAAACTATAAAAGTCGGTAAATGTTTGGATTTTAGTGTGTAATTTTGTGATTAAATAGACTATCATGCGTTCTCATTTGATATTATTTATGCTCTGTTTGATAAGAATGATGGAAAGTAGAAGAGATACATTTTCTATCTTTCAATGATAGAAAGTAGGAATGATACACTTTCATTCTTTTGTGTTTGGTTGAATGAATGAAAAATAAAAATTACTAATTTTTTTTTTATAGTGTCTAAGATTAAAGTTGACATGTCAGATTCATGTTAAGTCATAAAATTATGAGCCTTTTATTTTTCTTATTCGCGTGTCAGGTCATTTTCAAGTTCATGTCGAGTTATAATCAAATTCGTGTTATAAAATTTATGTCGAGTTCGAGGTATGTCATCGTGTTGAGTCGAAAATTTTTACCCCTTGTTAAGATGAAAAAAATATTTTTTTTTAATTTAAATTTTTTATTTTTAAAATTTTAATATATATATATTATCATTATATTTTTATATGAAATTAATGTATACATAATAAATATAAACAAATAAGATACATCTTAACACAAATAATTAATTTTTCATCCTCTTTCTTTCGATTTTTGAAGAATTAATTTTGGTGAGTTAGAAAGAAAGTTAATTCATCTATTTTTTTATCCTTCTTATTTTTTTTCTTTATCAAATATGATATTTTATATATATCTTCAATTTTTTATCTTTTCGTCGTAAGAAACGAAACGTTAAATTTTTGCGAGGACATAGTAGATTGATGGTCAATTGTGAACTCCTAAGCAGCCGAAAAACTTGGCACCTGTGGAGAAAGAGGGAATACGGCTGAGAGATGCAGAGTCATTTTCTAGTTCCTTGTCAAATATTCAATCAACTTGATATTAGGGATTTGAGTAGGCTGAGCAAGACAAGTTTATTATTCAAAGCTTGGGTTTGAATTTAATTATTTAATTATTTTTTGCACACCACATTGCGTATTATATATATATATTTGTTTAACAGTGAGAGATGTTTGTACTGATTTACTCGTATTTCGACAAATTTTTTTTTCAATTCTATCAAAAATAAGTTATTAACGCTGAAACTAGTGTGTTCATAATATATAAATTTCTTATAATTAAACTTTTAGTATTAATTATTAATATTTAAATTTAAAATTCATCGTATAGAAACTTTATCTGTCATTGGCATTAGTTTGAGTTGGACACGGAGACAGAAAAGTATACATTCCACACAAGCTTTTAGTCAGATTCATGCTCTATGACACTTTTAAGTTGAAATAATCTTGTATACCATTTCTCTCTCTCTCTCGTATTGATAAGACATTCTTGATTCCTTCCTGCTTAGTTGATAACAGTAAAATGTCTAAATGTATGGAGCGTAGTTTCATGGCAAAACATCACTGAATACAAATATGTAATAAATGTCTTTTAGCTTGATTCGTATAATTTAAAAATAATTGTGTGTATCTTAAGTTTATATTGTAATGACAAATTCAATTAATATGTGACTAAAACATTTGTTAACTAAAAAGACAACCAAAAGTCACGTATATCATCAATTTTGACGAGTTCGACTTAGACCAAACCTAGTTTAAAAATAAATGTCAACAAAAACCAGGCTCATGGTTTTGAAAAATTTAATCTATTTGTGACGTACATGATATCTCTATATTAGAATTAGGATACGCATCGCAAGTCTCAATTATCTCGTCCGTTACGTAAACATCGCGGAGTCACTCACTCCCGTCACAAGGGTGATGCCTTAATCAAGACTTCTCGTGATGACATCTTCATTAAAACCCGCTCNCGGAGTCACTCACTCCCGTCAAAAGGGTGATGCCTTAATCAAGACTTCTCGTGATGACATCTTCATTAAAACCCGCTCTGGAGCACCATAAAGATTATACTTCCTTATAAATTGTAAGCCTTATTTACACATGAGAAGCATCACACATATCTCAGCATATTACACCTCTCAAATAATAAAATTCTCCGATTACCATTGTTATTCCTAATAGAATGGGTCACCTAGACCAAACTTCTTAATTTTTGTGTTTGTTTGTGTTAATTCCTTGACACTTCACTCGTGATTGATTCTTATATAAACACTTTTGTACATTATTAAGTTTCATTACTAAAAGCATTAGAAACGAAAAATTTCACTTAAACGATTGTGTTATCGGTTCTTTCAAAATGAAACAAGCTTTTACGAGGGGGTAAAAATTTAAATCTTTAACTTTGAAGTTTGTGGGTGCAACAATAGTGAATTGTATATGTCCTATTATATATATATATATAGTACATAGAGTTTTGAATTCCAAATATAAGTAGAGGTTGAGATCAATTCAAGACAAAATAAAGACATATCTAATGGACGAGAGAGAGATATAGATATGGTTTAGTTAGCATTTTGGGGACTTGACACAATTCTAACTTAATCAAATCCACTTTAAGACAAAAGAGTCATTTTTATGTGGAGTCCAACTTCCAATGATTTATGTAGTGTAAAATATATTTTTGGTCTTTGAAGTATCTATTTATTGTTTATTTGATTCTCAATTTTTTAATTGTATCTATTTGTTTTTAATTTGTATTTAAGTGGTCCAATTTTAAATGCAGTCAAAAAATTGATGACATTTTTTGTCACACTCCAATTATGTAATTTCTAATTTTATATCTATTTGATTCCTAAAATTTTTAATTTGTGTCTATTTTATCCCATGTAATTAGTGTGTGACTAGAGCCTTTAGCGATTTTTTGCCAGACGTTTAGACTAGTAAGTTTTATTAAATCTCTTGAATCATATAATCATTATTGTTATATCTAACACTCCCATTACGATATTAGAAAGTATTATTTTGGTATTGCAATTCAACTTTTAAAATAATCTGTCCCGGGTATAAATTTTTTATTATTTAATTAATGATTATAAATTATTTAAGTTAAAGTTAATAATTGAAATTAATAAAAATACGAAGTGGGTTCTTTAACCTATCTTTATTGTTAAATAGCTAAAAGAGAAGTAGAGAAAAAATAGTAAAAGCAGGATGCTTTTTGGTAAAATTATTGTCCTTTTACGAGTTATTCCACGGCACGTGCGACGACCACGAGACTTGGGGGGCTTGACTTGGGTGCGTCTGGGACCACAGTGTTCAACAACTTGATCTCATTGTATGACGTACCAACTTGACTTACAATCCAACTGCCATTGTCCACTTGGCATAGTCGTCATATTCATCAACTTGGACTGTACAGGTTGTTGCCATGTTCTGTCTAATGGGTCCAGTCCAGCCTATTTATGTCATTTGGCCATATACCAAGGCTCTTAATTTGTTGGGGGATAACCGCAAACTAGGTTGGGAAATTAATTGAATGATTAGAGTTGTGTAAGTTACTTTACGCGTGTCTCGATTAAAAATATTTTTAGAAAAAATTGAAAAAAAGTACACGAAATTAGATTTAATTGTAAAAAAGTACACAAAAAAAAATATTGGGTAATTAAATCTTTAATTTTAATATTTATTTGTATCTAAGTACACTATTTGAATTTTACTGATTTTTTTGTGATATTTTTGTCCTCCATTAATCTATGTATATTTACTGTATTAAAATTTACCAGGTTAAATTATACTTTTTTTTGAGACGTAAGTTAATAATTTTTAAAGGTCATAATCAATTATGATAGATTAGGATTGATACTGAAGTTATAACTTTTAAAAGTTAAGTTACAATTCATAAGAGAAAAGTTACATCTGTTCAGGAAAAGTTTATGATTGATCATGTGTATCTGTAATCAATCATAGTCCCTTTTGAATAGTTGTAACATTTCTCTTTTGAGTTGTAATTTTATCATAAAAATAATAATTGACAGTGCGGCACCGAAGTCAGTACCATAGAATTCCCCCATTTTGATAATCCTGACTAAAAATTAGTTGAATTCGAATTTTACTTTGTTATTATATTTTTTTTTCACAATTTAAATGATGTATATATTAATTCATGAATTCAGAATTAAATACACTAGTATTATATTTTTTTATAGTCTGACCAGTTTAGTTGAAGAGTAATATTAGATTGATCAAATTTTAGGATTAAATTTAGAGTCCAAATAACATGGCAGTTGATTATTTGAAGTTTTTATTGGGACTCAAATGACATCACACCAATCAAAGAAGTTTAATTCAANACTAAATTTGGAGTCTAAATAATATGGCAGTTGATTATTTGAAATTTTTATTGGGACCCAAATAACATCACACCAATCAAAGAAGTTTAAGTCAACTGTCATGTCATTTGACCCTAAAATTTGGTCAATCTAGTCTTTCTGTTAGTTGAATATCAGGATGCAGTGTAATTAATTAGGTAAACTTGTGATAAAATTACGTTGAAATTCAGATTTAATTCCGTCAAAAATTACTTGAACCATGTATTTTAAATCAGATCAAACTTTTTGATCGAATTCTTATCTTTAATAAATTTAGATATTGATTGTGAAAATATAATTCATCGGATGTTAATTTTTTTGTTTTTTCAGAGCATGGGGGAGGGACGACGGACGACCAATAGATAATAACCACGAGGTGTTAAATTCATGGGATATTAAATTGAATAGATCAACATAAAGCCACTTTATTAGCAGTAATACTACATTATTAGTTGTAAAGTATATG